AACAAAATATAAAAAGACTTTTAAATAACCAACTTTAAAAGCTTCAAAATAACACAATTATGGATTAAATTCCCCAGAGATGGGGCCTCGGGGGCCCCCCTTGAAGGTGTCCAGCCGTACCCTCCGCGGGCCCCCCGGAGCAGCAGCAGGGGGGCCCCCCTGGGGCCCCCTGGCTCGTTTTTGGGTCTTTTTGGTGCGGCCGCGTTGCCGCGGCGCGCCTGCAAACCCTAAACCCTAAACCCTAAACCCTAACCCCCACTTCTGGCCAAAATGGAGAGCAACATGGACTTAATCCGGCGGCTTCTGCGGGGCTCCCAACAAGCAGCAGCTTCTCAAGCCTCCCAAGCCTCCTTATCCGCATCCCAGCAGCGGCTGCAGGAGGGCCCCCAGGGTCCCCTGGGGGCCCCCGGGGCCCCCGGGGGCTGGGGGCCCCCGGGGGCCCCCTGGCGCGGGGGGCCCCCGGGGGCCCCCGGGGGCCCCCCGGGGGCCCCCGGGCCCTGCTGCAGCAGCTGCGGCAGCAGCAGCAGCTGCAGCATCGACCCCAGCGGCCACCTGGTCTGCAGGGAGTGTGGGGCCCGCCAAGAAGGAGAACAAATAGCAGCAAGAGATGAAGAAGAGAACTTCGGTTTGCTGCAGTCCACTGCTGCTATGGGGGCCTCTCGGCTGCGGGCCTCGGAGCTGCTGGGGGCGGACGCAGTGGCTGCTGCGCTGCAGGCCGTGGGGCTGGGGGCCCCCCTCGCGGGGGGCCCCCCGGGGGCCCCCCCTGCTGCTGCTGCTGCTGCTGCTGCTGCTGCGGGCGCCGGCGCGCAGCCTGCTGCTGCTGCTGCTGCTGCTGCGCGGAGGGCGCTCGCGGCGGAGGAGGAGGCGGAGGGGGAGTGGGGGGAGGACGGGGAGGCTGCTGCTGCTGCTGCTGCTGCTGCGACGCCTGCTGCTGCTGCTGCTGCTGCTGCTGCTGCTCGCCTCGCGCTGCAGCAGCAGCAGGCCCTCGGCAGCTACTGGCAGCAGCCGCTGCTGTGGCTCAATGCCCAGGAAGCAGCAGCAGAGACCAGTGGTCCAGATGGCGCTGTCTCCGACGCCGTGCTGCTGCGCTGCTGGGCGCTGCTGCTGCAGTCCTGCTGCAGGCTGCTGCAGCAGGAGTTTGGGGTGTCTTCTCTTTTGGAATTGGAAGCTCGAAAAGTAAAATAAATATTATTTTATTTAAAAGAATTAAATATTATTTTATTTCTTTTATTTATTTCCTTTTCTTCTTCTTGTCTCTTTTGTTTGCGGGAAGGGGGAGCAGCAGCACCCCCTTGGACGCAGCAACGCCTGCTGCAGCAGCAACTCCTGCTGCTGCTGCTGCTGCTGCTGCTGCTGCTGCTGCTATCTGCTTTTTGCTGCCGCTTTTCTCTCTCTTGTTGGATGAACCTCTGTTTATTTATCTGTCTCTTTTTGTCTCCTTTCGAGTCCGCGCCTGCTGCTGCAGCACAGAGCTCTACGGGACTTTGCTGCTGCTGCTGCTGCTGCTGCTGCTGCTGCTGCTGCTGCTGCAGGTGCTGCTGCAGTACTTGGGCTTTCTCTCTGAGCACCAGCTGCCAGTGGAGACTTACTTCTGCAGCATCACTTCCAACGTCGTGAAGGTTCCGTGAGTCCCCAAACCCTAAACCCTAAACCCTAAACCCTAAACCCTAATTTGGAGAACAGCTGCTGTGATGAATAAAGGGTACATATAGCTGAGACTCCATTAAAGGCCCTACCCCGAGGGGGCCCCTGGGGGCCCCCCGGGGGCCCCTGGGGGCCCCTGGGGGCCCCCGGGGGTTCCTGCTGCTTCTTGGTCTTGGCAGCTGCTGCTGTGTCTCCTGTTGCTTTGCTGCTGCTGTGTCTGCTGCTGCTTTGCTGCTGCTGTGTCTGCTGCTGCTTTGCTGCTGCTGTGTCTGCTGCTGCTTTGCTGCTGCAGCTTTCACCGCATTGTGTCGCACACGCAGCAAATTGGGGAGGAGCTGCAGCAGCAGCAGCAGCAGCTGCTGCAGGACCCCACAGTGCCCCCCCTTATAAAAGAAGGTGAGGAAGCAGCTTTTGCTGCTGCAGCCTTTCTTGGATTCCCCCGTTATCTAGTAGGGTTTGAACCCGCGTTAGGG